TCTTTCTCGGTCAAATAAATAAATAAAAACTTTTTTTAAAAAGGCAAGAAAGAAATGGAACTTCCTTTTATGGTTATAGTAAAGAAAAACACTACCCCTGCCTTGTGTAGATAATGCGTTATATACTAAAATCTAAAAAGGTAATAGTACTTCTGTATTCACAGATCGTATTCCCCTTGTCACCTCGCTTTGCTATTTCACACTAGCAGATGCTTCCAAACAAAAAGGAGGGAGAAAGACTCTGATGATCAGTTATCAAAATTTAAACATTTTAGTCCTGTTAGAGTTTTTACAGAGTTAACTTTTAAGCTATAAGTAAGTGATCGATCTTACCTGCACAAGTAGTTTACACCAATCAAGGCTCTGTTGTTCAGGACAGGGATGCAAAATTTCAGACTTAAAGTTCTCTGACCATCCAGTATCTTTCAGTTCTAGTCCGTGCGACCAGATTCTTGCATGACACCAACTACAGTGAGGGGAAAAAGGAAATTAAACAGTATTGAAGAAATTGAATAGTTATGGTAAATGTAGCAACTACCTCTCAAAAAAAACCCTCATTTCTCTATTTCTGTGGTGGGAGGAAGTTGGTGGACAATATATATATTGTACTTCCTTATGATTATTTTATGAACCAGCTCTACCTCAAGGAGCTTTATATTAGCATGCTTGGCTGAAGTTAAGTTCAAAGGTTTAGTCCCCGTAGCTAGTTTTATACATCATAGTGGTAGAGGGAACCACTTCATACTCACCCAAGAAAATATTAGTACAAACTTGTCTGTAAAATCGCTTGTGGATAGTTCATTTGCAGTTCATCTTTATCAAGAATAAAAGGAAACAAACCCAAAGTTTTCTTACCAGTAGCGGCTTACTGAAATCAGATATCACAGAGCTGGAATAGAACTTCATGATCGTCTATGGAAACAAACCCTTCATTTTAAGGATAAAGAAGTGAGTGAGATCCAGGGCACCTGATCTGAGGGTGGCTCAGTCGGTTCAATGTCTGCCTTCCGTTCAGGTCATGATTTCAGGGTCCTGGGGTCGAGTCCCACATCAGGCTTCCTGCTTAGTGGGGAGTCTGCTTCCTCTGCCCCTCCCACCCACTAGTGCTTGCCCCCTCCTCCACAAAAATAAATAGTCTTTTTTTTTTTTTTTTTTGAAAAGGCAAGAAGTGAGACCCAGCGTAGCTCACTGTAAGTAAATACAGACTGCACTCGAGTTTGGGTCCCAACTAGGATACCAAGTGAACTAACCCATTCTACTTCCAACTGCCCTGTGAGCCCCCATTCAGATCCAAATTAGTGTCCATGGTTTGGAGCATTTCATAAAGGCTTTGGGGAATCCCAGAAAGTGCCAGAATCTGAAGACCAAATATTCCTCGGATATAATGAATAGTTACATCATGCTATAAAGAATCCAGTTTTATATATAGGATCGTGTAATGAGCTTAGGAACTAGTAACTAACTGAAAGCTCAGGGTACAGCTGAGGAGCCAGACTAGCTTCACACACTACCCTCCCTTGTGTAGTGAAACCACCAGGAGGGAGTCAGAGAATGGGAACAGAAATCTACTTTCATCAAACTTGAGCACTTCAGTTATCAGTAAATCTGCATTTAAAATTAATAGAAGGACCTTGCCATTTCTCATAACCCCCAATGTGTATCTTTTTTCGTGTTGATTGCTTAAGTCCTCCCTACTGTTTGCATAATTGTTCTCTGTAAAACAAAAGTGAGAACTACTTAAGTGGATTTTGTTCTGCTGCTGTTCATCTTTGTCATGCTTGCTATTATTTCATTAAGGACAGTGACTCGTCTGGCGTTGTGTGGCCATGGACTGCACAGTAATTTGGCCTCTCTGGAATTCCTATTATTTTTACTTCATCAATTTCTCATGTCCCAGGAAGGAATCACTTAGAACAAAAACCCGTTTGAACTAATTTAGAGAATGGAAGTGGAATGCTGTTTATAAGTGATTGAGAGATCATTTTAATATTACCACTTTGAGGCTTAAGCCCCTTTAGTCAAAAAAAGAGAGAGACAGAGAGACCGCTCTTGCCCTCCCCTACGTTTCCTCCATTGTCCCCAGACTCAGTAAATGACAGCATCACTTTCTCATTATTCAAGCCAAAAACCTAGGAATTATCCTGGTTCCTCTCTTTCCTTCACATCTCACATCCAGTCAATTCCTGTAGCTTCTCCCACCACCACCAGTAGTAGCCACACTTAATGAAAGCTTATTATATGCCAGGCATCCTGGTCTGTGTTTTGTCTTATTTCATCTTCACAATACACTGTGAAATAAATAGTACAAAATATATTCAATTTAAAGGTGAGGAAAACAACCTCAGAAAGGTCACATAAATTGCCCAAGATCATGCAGCCATCTGTCCTCACAACATGATGACTGGCTTACATACACACATACAGCAAGTGACTCAAAACAAGACCATAGGTGCAGTATCTTTTTTTTGTTTAATCTAGCCTCTGAAGTCAGCACTGTCACTTCTGCAGTATTTTCTTGGTCACACAGAGCCAGCAGTGATTCAGTATGAAGAGGTAGATAGCAGGAGACGGTGATCATTGGGAGCCATCTTGGAAGCTGGCTACCACAAGATGTCAGTCAACCATTGGACTAGGAAAGAGTCAAAAGTACTTCTTAAAGTGATTGTCAGGCAGCTGATCATTTATCGAGCAAGAATGCCTGGATTGGTGTATGTTCTGTCATTTCTTCCTGTCTCTTATTGATTTTTAGTGCTCTGTATTAAACAGTGCAGTTTATTTTTTTTTAAGATTTTATTTATTTATTTGACAGACAGAGATCACAAGTAGGCAGAGAGGAAGGGAAGCAGGCTCCCTGCTGAGTAGAGAGCCCAACGCGGGGCTCTATCCTAGGACCCCAGGACCATGACCTAAGCCGAAGGCAGAGGCTTTAACCCACTGAGCCACCCAGGAACCCCAGTGCAGTTCATTTAATGAGTATTTATTGAAGTTCCTAGTATGTTTCTAGTGGTGTGTGGAAGTCACAGAAGTGTATTAGCCACAAGCTAACATAGGGTTTCCAGAAATTCAGGAGCGATTCCACAAGCAAGCCAAGAATTCAGATTAATAATGTGATGTGTGATAGAGACTTTAGATGCTCTACAAATTAGAAAGAGGAGAAAACAGTGAATCATAGTTGTTCTGGAAGGCCAAAGGAGCTAGAAGGAAAGGGAACACATGCTAAGCTATAATTCTGTGCTAGGTAGGGACTGGGCAGAGCATTTTACATGTAAGAACTCTAACAATGGGTGGTAGAGGTTCCATTTCACATGTAAGGAAATTGAGTTCCAAATAGGTTAAATTGTGTGCCCAAGGCAACACAACAAGTAAATGAACTTGAAAGCATGTGTATTTATTTTTTTTTTCAATCTCTTCCTCTGCCGTTGAAAGCAGAAATTACTGGCCTTTCTCAGGGGTCAGTTAGTTGTACCAGGTAGTACTTATGGTAAGTAAACTGGGGTCAAGTTTTGAATACTTTTTACTTTCTTCAAACAGGGCTACGCTCTAAAGTAGCAGAATTGACCATGGGAGAAATCAAGTCCGATTTTCTAATCGTTGAAAGCTTTGAACTTTAAGCTAAGCTGTATCTCATCGATAGCAGTATAAATTCTTTTTGATTGAGGCAATTTTTGAATTCCTTAACTGAAATATAAGGAATTTTCTAATTTATGTTTTTCTAAGAACTACTACAACTGGTCGAAAAGCATAAATGTCAGAGCATACAAAATTAGCCAAAATACAACTTGTCGGGTGGAAATTTCAAGGATTACAAGTGCTGTGTACACGTGGCCCCTTGGACTTTTCTCACTCAGGCCACCGGTCTTTCTCTTTGGTTTCTCATTCATCTTTCCCATCCATACCCTCTGCAAGGTTCCTCTTCTGTTATCCAAGTGCAAATGCTCTTGTCCAACACTTCTAATTCTTTCCTACATCATCTGCCAAAAACTGATCCCCTGAGTGTTCTGCTCGGACCCTTAGGATTTACCTCTCAAGGTGTTAGAGTAGTTCCCCCAGAATACAAGCCCTGCCTTGTGTTAAGTTTCCCGCTTTCGAGATACTTGTGTGTGTGTGTGTGTGTGTCAAGGGAGTGTTTCACTCTGGCCCCAGAACCCATGTGGAGTCGTTCAGTAAGAATGGTTCAGAGGACAGGCAGGTGGTAATTTATTTTGACAGTCTGTGGTGAACTGTATACAGCAAGGGTGCACGAGACTTTTCCTGACTCACAGGGATTATAGGGATCAGGAATAGGGTCCCTCATCACTTTCCATCAGAGCCAAAATGCAAAGGACACCTAAGACACATCACTCATACCTGAACCTCATTGCTCCAGCTACACAATTATTTAAGGCTGGTGTCCAAACTAGCTGTGGTTCGCCTTTTTGAGTACTCTTACTGACCAGTCCGCAGTTCGGGCCATTGGGAGGCTGGTGTGCAGGCAGAGCAGATAGGCCTCACACAGTCTGTGTAAGAACAGCACATTCAAAAGATAAGTGGTACTCCAAAAAGGGGGGGCAGTGGAAGCCTTTTATCCAGTTCAGTGCACACCCGAGACAGTGGTCACCTTGAAGAGTGAAACACAGACCTTTGACTCAAAGCTGTGGTTTGTTCAAGGCTCGCTGAGCCCCCTGCTCCCTTCAGGATGTGGTGTCTAGCCACAGTCCCGTCCCCACGGCACTGCTCGCAGGCCCTTGCTGCTGCTCGAGCAGCTGTACTTCAGGCCGTCCCACCCTTAATCAGGGTTTCAAGAACTTCTACTTGAAAGAGCTGATTTCTCAGCATATCGTGGGAGTATCTCCCTCAAGAACTATCTTTAAAACAGCAGAAATTGTAGTCCAGAGTTTGAAAGTTTATCATCATGCAGAAAACTGATTAGCTCCGTAAGGAAGGTCCACTGACAAAACATAGAGGGACCTACTAATCAAAGTTTCATTATGCTTTGCCTTTGGCTTTGTCTCTTCATATAGGTTTGTGTGCACCGGATAGACGTGGTCTTCTAGAATCGCATACCACAATAACACTGTAGCAGTCTCGGTGGCGGCCATAAGAACTGGAATGCCCTCTGAGGCAGCAGAGGGAAGCAGATGGGAAATAGGTTTGGGGAAGGGAAGAAACTTCAGTATTGGATTAGATGAGGCAAAAATCTTTTTGAGGACAGTCAGATTTTGAATTTCAACATCTTTGAGTCAGTTAAGTTTAATTCATATCCTGCTTCAGAACCTACCATTTTTTTTAAAGGTTCTTTGAAGGGCGCCTGGGTGGCTCAGTCGGTTAAGCTCCTGACTTTGGCTCAGGTCATGATCCGGGGGTCCTGGGGTTGAGCCCCACATTGGGCTCCCTGCTCAGTCAGGAGTCTGCTTCTCCGTCTGCCCCTCTCCCTGCTCTTTTTCTTTTTCTCTCTCTCAAACTTTTTTAAAAAAGGTCTTTTGAAAAGGCAAAAGTAGAAAAATTTCTGAAAATGAAACCTTTGATGATAGAATTCTAAAAATAATTTAGGCCATCATATTGCCCCAGGAATAAGATACATCCCTACACCTCTGCCCTAGGAAACAGCACATCAGACTGCAGTGAGATTTGGAGAACCAAAAAGGCATCCTATATCAGTTCCCTGGAACTCACACTGTCCCTTTCTTCCCAAGACCAAGGTTTCCTGGCCAATTTATTACCAATCATTTCTTTTGGATATCTAGATACTGTTGTGTTGAGGTTAAGTCCCCTGCTCCATGTCACTTCCTGTCCTTATTCAAGGGACAAAACAGGTATGTGAAGGGAAGGTGAAGGGCAGTTACGTACCTGTCTTACTGCCTGTATCTGAGTGTCTGGGTTCATTTTCTCTTAAGAGCCCCAAGTACTGAAGCTTTCCTGAGAACCACGTTTGTTAGGAAGCTTATAAATGGCAGCTACTGAAGTGCTTCCTGTATATATTCGATCGGTTTTTAA